ATGGAGGCTTTTTGTTTGGTGCAAAGGACTTGGCTAGCATGGCCATAGAATCAGTGGTTGGTGTATTGTTATGGAGTGCTCTTTGGGATTCCTCTTGGAGTAACAGGGAGTAAACTTTGGACAGTGTTGGCAAAGGGGTGGACAGAAGGAAATGGCTCCGAAGAGTAGAATAGGACTCATGTAACCCAATGAGGAATTTCATGACACAATCCTGGTGCTGGCAAGCAACCATGGAATCAACAATACCACAAGTACAGGAATTAAGAGCACCACATGTACACTGAAAAATCGGTCTATAAGTAACATGTTCATCCCAGAGGCCCTTAAAAACATTGTAATACTGAGTGATGGACATAGAGCCTTGATCTATAGTGCTAAGTGACTTTTCCAACTGGAAAACCCTAGGACCGCTACTCATTGCATACCGATTTTTAATCTCATCCCATAGATCTTTTGCAGAGTTGAAAAATAATAGAGACTGGCGAATTTCTTTAGAGATAGAGTTGAGTAACCAGGATAATACCAAATTGTTCGCCCTGACCCAAGATGTGTACAGAATAGCGTTACCAGTAGAAGACGGCGGAAGAACAGTACCATCGACAAAGCCGCCCTTGTTTTTGACGCTAAGAGCCATAAGTACCGCACGCGACCACGAAACATAGTTATCCCCTTGGAAAATCTCAGCAACGATTAAAGCGCCTGGGTTGTCGCTTGCGTGAAGGAAAAACGGGCTCGATGGATCATCAGATGGATTGACCGGCATCGCCATGGATGAATATCAACAGAGTATGGATTGATTCAAAGAAAAGATCGATCGAATCAACCGAAAAAATATCAACAGATCTGAAAAAAAAAAAATCGCAGATCTAAAAAAAAATGATTGGTTTCGAAAAAATCAAAATCCAATCCAAAAACGAAAAGGAATGCGGAAGCGATGATCAGAACCGAGAAACTCCGGCGAGTGATACCATATCAATGTATGAGATTTGGATATAGAGAGAGAGAAGAGAGAAAGATTATTCTGTATATTGTCGAATGAACAAAGTGAGTGGATAATTAGGTTACAGTACCCTTTTATACTTAGGGTTAGGAACACTAATAAAGCTAAAGTAAAATACAACTTTACTATGCTAAATAACGATTTATACATATAATGCTATATCACTAATAGTGCATGAGATTTCTGAGAAAAGTTTTGCCATTTCATTCATTCGTATATGATGAAGCATGTGATCATTAATCATATATATAATTATTTTGGGGAATTAGGGCTCATTTGTTATCTAGAATACGATAGGACAAACAACTTTATCTCGTTATCATTCATTTGGCGTCCATGATTAAATTGTTGGTATACCGAAAATCCAACATAAATCCCACTTGATAAGAGTCCGTTTATAATTTTCGGTGATTCTATTCCATGAGTGCAGGATAATGTATCCTTTCAAACTATGGCTGATTAGAATTATCCAACTATGATAATGAGATGAAATGTGGTTCGGTCCTTTAATCTATCTATACTTATATTAAAAGGTATACCATTTATCAAATTTAGTATAAAGAAAAGTCAACAATATTTATTGCATTACTATTTCCGTATTATACAATCTATACTTATATAAAAGGAGATTCTATTTATTACATTTACTATCCAGAAAAGTCAAATACATTAAATGTCATTACTATTTTGGTATTATAATATTTTATTTATTTAATTGATTTATTTATTTGTTTTATTTTAAAAAGGTAAGTATAATAAAAAGATTTTATTAATAAAAAAATCAAATATCAAATAAAAATGTACACTTTGACTTATTTGATTATATTTGGTATTTGATTATACCAAATATATTCCTATTTAGTATATACATTAAATACTTACTAAAGTATTTATTTGTTTTATTTGTCAAAGTTAAGTATAGATTTGTTTATATTATCAAATCATAAAACAAATAAATATATCTCATGTTTCGCACGGGTATTTGAACATTGTACAATTTTCTTGCGTGTATTATAAATTTTTATTGAATATTGTATCTTATAATATAATATTCTCCAAATAAATATATCTCGTGTTTCGCACGGGTCACGTACTAAATATATCCCGTATATTTTTTTTATTCATGTATATAATTATAAGATTGGATAAATAGCCTTAAAATTGTGCACCCCGTGCATCGCACGGGCTCTGTACTAGTTTATACTAAAGAGAAAGAGGGATATTTGATTATGTATGTTTCTATCCAAGAGTTACATAAAATAACGAAAGTCGCTCGTTAAATTATTTTTTTTTTAACCTCTTATCTTATATGGGACGAGCATATTTGACTATGCATATTTCTATCTCCGAAGTTATTATGAATACCAAGTGTTGTTGAGAGTACGAGATTATTATCTTCGAAGAACAAATTACATGCATATAACAAATTTGAATTCGATTTTATCCGTAGAGTATAATTCCCACCTAATACTAACGAGCTTGGTACAAGTTAGAACACCAATCAATGGGGGAATTGTTCTTTGTACAAACTGTTAGGTTGTACAGTTGTTGTAACAAAATGCATGCTTAAATTATCAAATATCAGACTATTATATAAATTATATTTTAAAAAATGATATTTAAATATACAAATATGTGCCTGAGTAGAAAAATATTAAATATTACTGTGAAAAGAGTATTTCAAAATTGTACAAGATAAATATGTAACATGTTACACGTATACAATATATAACAACTGTTAAACATTGAATCTATACTTATATTAAAAGGTATACCATTTACCAGATTTAGTATAAAAAAAAAAGTCAACAACATTTATTGCATTACTATTTCCGTATTATACAATCTATACTTATATAAAAAGAGATTCTATTTACTACATTTACTATCCAGAAAAGTCAACTGCATTATATGTCATTACTATTTTGGTATTATAATATTTTATTTATTTAATTGATTTATTTATTTATTTATTTATTTTAAAAAAGTAAGTATAATAAAAAGATTTTAATAATAAAAAAATTAAATACCAAATAAAAATGTACACTTTGACTTATTTGATTATATTTGGTATTTGATTATACCAAATATATTCCTATTTAGTATATACATTAAATACTTACTAAAATATTTATTTGTTTTATTTGTCAAAGTTAAGTATAGATTTGTTTATATTATCAAATCATAAACAAATAAATATATCTCGTGCTTCGCACGGGTATTTGAACATTGTACAATTTTCTTGCGTATTATAAACTTTTATTGAATATTGCATCTTATAATATAATATTCTCCAAATAGATATATCTCGTGCTTCGCACGGGTCACGTACTATATATATCCCGTACATTTTTCTTTATTCATGTATATAATTATAAGTCTGGATAAATAGCCTTAAAATTGTGCACTCCGTGCATCGCACGGGCTCTGTACTAGTTTCTCCTAAAATTCCTATTTTGAAATTTCGTATGTCATAATTATAACTTATCTCCAGAAAATTTAATCTTTAAAGTTAAGTTCAGATCCTAAAAGTGGCTTATAAATTAAACCCATAAGGAAAATGAAAACCTCGTGTGAGTAAACGGGAAGACTTGGAATTTTTTTATCCTCAACAGAAATTAGAGTTCTAGTTGAAGCTATTGTTGAGAGTGATGCAAAACCAAAGTTAGGCAGAAAATTAATGTGCAACAACAAAGATTCAGAAAAGCAAATTCCAAATAAATTTTGATTCACTTTTTTTGACAAATATTATTTTCTTAATCTTATTTTTGACAATTAGCTTAGCGTTTTTATTCGAACTAGTTTCGATGTTTTCTACACCATTTCTTTCTTGGTTATTTATAGCCGACTTTTTATATTTTCCTTTATATCGTTTTCATTAGTCATTACTAAGATGAAAAATTATGTTGTGAGCCATATGGTCTAATGTACTTAGCTAAAAAAATAATAGTAATTTCATTTTATCATTTAGTTCAGTAATTAGAAGTGAATTCCATCTTACACACGGGTAGTGCCCACAC